ATTTGGGACTAAACCAGAAACACCGAGACAACAAATTTTGAATTGAATCTCATTTTTTTCGGCCGAAAAATGTCTGGGAAATTCCTTCCTTTGGGACATCATGCTGTACGGATTGGATGGACATTTAACTATGTTGATTTGGAGCGGATCTAGCGACGAAGGTTTAGACTCCGTTCATTTCACGGAAAATAACTTCCGGGAAAACGTTTTCCGGATTTTCCGGGTTCGTTTCACGGAAAATAACTTCCCACGAAAAACATTTTCCTCCCCCGTCCTTCTTCACCTTCACTTTTGAGGAAAATGTTTTCCTCTTTCTAAAAAGAGGAAACATTTCCCCCCCCCCCCCCCTCTCCTTCTTCACCATTCATTTTAAATATTTTCTTTTTTTTTTTCCTTCTTCTTCTTCTTCCTCAGCCGATTGCCGGCCATGGCGGCTGCCTGTGATCGGCCAACTCGAGCCTCGCCACAAGCCGGCGAGTGGCAAGCTCGGCCGCACCGGATCAGGCCAGCCGGAGCCTCGCCCAAGGCCAGTCGAGCAAGCTCCGGCCTCGCCAAATCCGGCGAGCTGGGCGAGGCTCACGTCACCCGAGGTCGCCAGACGTCGGCGAGGCTCTGGCGACCTTGGGCAAGCTCGACCTCACTGGATCAGGCAAGGCTTGAGCTCGCTTGTGGCCGGTCGCCGATCGCCAACGTGGTCAACGACCTGCCGAAGAAAAAGAAAAAGGAAAAAGAAGAAAAATAAAAAAGAAATTATTAAAAGTATTGCAAGGAGATACTGAACAACAAAAAATATTTTCCAAGACTTTTTTAGATTTCATCCGAACATCGAAAAATTGTGTCATTTTTCAGGAAAATGGCTTTCAGGAAAATATTTTCTAAAAACGTAACATTTCCGTGAAACGAACGGAGCGGAGCCTTAGACTTAAAGCAATTGCCTTTTGGTCAATTTCTTGAAACCAGTTTGAATTCTTTCTTTCCTTGGTATTGCGGAACTCTGCAATGCAAGGGAAGCTTCACATACACCTTGAACTATGAATCTTAGACTTTTATAAAGTCAGACTTGCTCACGGCAGGTTTTACTGGTCTAAAATTCCATCTGATCTTATTCCCTGGAGCTTTGATGAGGAAATAGCATATACAGTTTCCTCAAGCTTCTTCGTTTAAGTGCATAAACCGATTGGTGTTCCTGTAGGAACCAACATTTCTGTCTGATTATTAGGTGGGTGTATGTGAGCATCAATCTTTTCATTTCATCATTAATGTCAAGAAACCGTGTCCAATGAACAACTTCCGTACTCCGCCCAAAAGTAAACAAAAATTAGAAGCTTAAAGGTACCATCTTTATAAAGTTGCTTCCTAATAATGGTCTTTATTCGGTAATCACAAACACAAAGCAGAACTGATCCGATACTACGAGGCAAAAGCTAACCTTTTCTGGATCCGATACCCCGATCAAAAGAGATCTAATTCTCAGGTGAACGATAGTGCGACGTTTCTCAAGTGGGAACCCACTGTCACCTGTATTAATTTTTCAACTTTAGTTTCGCCTTTTCGTTGCTTTATAGGGAAGGGCACGTTATCTGTAAAGACAGAAGACAGGTGCATGAGCAAGAGCTTGGAGAGAATATTTGTTAATCATGGTTGGACTGCAATACCAAACAAGAATTATAAACCAGGCTGGCAGGTTTCTTTAGTGTGTATATTAATTTGTGTCTTTATCAAGCCACAGCATCTTCCATAAACCTGTTCACACACCAGCAGAACTGCGCAAATCGCCCTAACTAGTCATACTAAATGCCACTGGTCTGAGATAAACTCCGAACCTCAACCGAATCGATGATATATGAATTGGTTGAAGCAACTATCTCAGATAGAATCTGGTCTTTTCTCTTCTTTATGTCAAAATAATAAGGTTTCAGAGAACCCATTAACATAGTGGCCGCATAAATACGGTTCCACGATTTCAAAAAGAATTACATTCAACATGTGACGGGCAAGTTAAACGATGCCGCGGCAGATTTCGCAAGCTCAATATTCGAGCTGCCGAGTATCACCGCTTGTGGGCCTAATTCCCTAAAAATCCTAAACTTTAGATTTAGTCCTAATTCTACCATGAACTTTTTTTTCATCTAAAAAAAACCCCAAACTTTCACTTTAGTCCCAAATTTACCCCCGTTAATTTTCCGTCCAAGATCTCCTTTACTTGTCCAACGTGGTATTTCCACGTCAGCTGTAAATCCACACCATTTGCTTTCGTGTATTTTTCTTCACTGTTCATCATCGTTATGTTCTTTTCCTTCTTCTTGGCTCCTTGCAACCTCCATTAATGGAGGTCGGGCATGGAGCTCACTTCTGGGTTACACGACCTCGGATTTGAGTCGTGCGCCCTTAGATCTAAGTTCGCATGACCTCGGATTTGGGTCGTGCGACCTTAGATCTAAGTTCGCATGACCTCGAATGTGAGGTCGTACGCATCAATCGCGGGTGTCAACCTCCATTAATGGAGTTCGACCATAGGGCACATAGTGGGGGAAACTATTTGTGCCTTCGCAGCGACGGTGGCTGTAGGGAAAGCTTGGGGTTGTTTTGCTGTTGTCTGGGCACGGAATGGGTCTACAAAGCTTCGGGGATGGCTGAGCGAGGTGGTGGCCTATAAAAATGGCTTCTTGAAGCTTAAATAGAAGGAATCGAAAACAGGGTCTCAGTCGAAATGGCCGGAGATGATTCCGACGACTGCCAACCGTCACGGAGGGGTTGTCGAAGGTCGTGGCACGGCGTCGGAGGTCTAGGTGACGATGGATGAACGCCGGGAAGCTGTCGCCGAGTGAATCCGTGCGAAGAGGACGATGAACAGTGACGAGGCTTTAATCTCAACTAACTTTGGACATTCCAATTCCCACAATTCATTAAGCTTCTTTGAGCTTCCTGGGATGATTAACCTCTCAAGGAGTTCTCTTTTAGTCAGTATCAATGCTCCCAGTTTCAGTTGTTCGAGTCCACTGTATTCAAGTTCTTGAAGCTGAGATTGAGAAATCCGTAGCTTTGACAGGTTTTAAGTTGGAAATGATTGACCAAGAAACTGCTGAGTTGAAACTAACAAGTTTCAGCTCCGGTAAGGCAGGAGGACGCTGCGTGGTAGATTGCGAGGAAAGCTTCGATAAAATCGCCGACCCGCATTTGGCCTCCGTGCTTCAGCACCTCCGTTAATGGAGGTAATAAAGAAGAAGAAGAAGTAAAATGAGGATGATGAACAGTGAAGAAAACCCACGTAAGCAAATGGTGTGGATTTACAGCTGATGTGGAAATGCCACGTTGGACGAGCAACGGAAATTTTGGAAGGAAGATTAACGAGGGTAGATTTGGGACTAAAGTGAGAGTTCGGGAATTTTTTTTTAGACGAAAAAAAGTTCAAGGTAAAATTGAAACTAAACCTAAAGTTTAGGATTTTTTAGGGGATTAGGCCCCACTTATGTATGCTTTTGATCTTATACGAAATTAAAAACGAATTATTTCATTTGCGTTTATAGCTAGGATAAAAATGGTGATCTGCAACACGTTTGCTCCAAAATGCCCATGTCACTTCAATAAAAAGTCATGCCCGGCGAAGCAGTCAAGTGTTGACTGTGAAGCCATTTGACCTTCTCCATGTCAATAGCTGAAGTTACTGGTTTATGCAGCAGTTTGTTCTGAGAAGGGCTCATACGAGTGTGAAATGATCCCAACAGCTAGGATCGCACAGGACTAAGTTCATGTTCAAACCCAATCTCATTTCAACTGAACCATATGTCATTCTTTGGATTATATCTAATTATTATGCGCATATGATGTAATTAGAGGGAGAGCAGTACCAAGTACGGGCCCTCTTGCCCTCAAATGAATGGAAAGTCATACGCTGCAAAATATAGAAATTTGACCGTTCAAAAGTGCTGAAGAGGAGACGACTTCACGGGGAGCATGCGCAGTTATAATTCAATTATCCTCCTAGCCGAGGATAGGAATGGCACAGCGTCCTTTGCCATCTCCCCCTGAAGACAAATAAGGAAGGAACCGTTGGTAATCTCAGTTTCCCTCCTATTTCGATTTCGGGTTTGTCTCGTGGCGCACCAGATCAAGTTCAACTCTACGGCGCGACCGAAGAAGGGATGACTCTGGTTGAAATTAGGGAGGGCGCAAATAACGCTAAGTTCTCCGATATTAAATTGGGTTAATACCACGAAAAATCCTAAATTGATACACCCGTGACAAATTTATCCTAAACTAATTTTTTGACCACCAAAAACCTTAAACTGGTACACCTGTGACAAATTTACCCTCCATTAATTTCCGTTAAATTTTACGGTCAAATTATTAAATTAGATAACACGTAATAGTTGACAAGTATACCAGTTTAGGGTTTTATCCCTCCGTTTGTCACAAGTTTACCAATTTGTGATTTTTCGCGTTATTAATCCAATTTAACGGAGGCTAAATTTGTCACAGATGTATCAGTTTGAGAATTTTAATGGTCAAAATATTAATTTGGGATAAATTTGTCACAGATGTATCAATTTAGAATTTTTAGTGGTCAAAAAATTAATTCGGGTAAATTTATCACAGGTGTATCAATTTTGGGTTTTTTGTGATCAAAAAATTAGTTCTGGGTAAATTTATCACGATTGTATCAGTTTTGGATTTTTCGTGGTATTTACCCTATTAAATTTAGTCCGAGTTGCGAAAGTAAATACGTTTCTCGAACGCGTCTTTATCTGCTCAATTATTTTTGGACAGTTATGCGCAAGAGGAGCACAAGATTACATGGGTGATGGAGATCCTAAACCCATTTACAAGTAATTTATTACTAGCCAAAGCAACTTTTCTCCCTGTCCTTTGCTCGTGGGTGGAAATTAGTAATGGAAAGTCCCAAGCAATGAGTGTGAGAGATGGAGAGAGAGAGAGGGGGGGGCGTGATTTGTTTAAAAGTAAAGCGGAAAGTGAAAACAAGGCCACCGCAGAATTCTCCATCATCTTCCTCTTCCTCCTCTTCTTCTTCTTCTTATTCTTCTGCTTCATCCTCTTCTTGAATCCCACCAAACCCCTCACGCTTCCATGAAATGGGCCGAGCTCTAGCGCCTCTCCCCGCAGACCTCGCTTCCCTGGCTCTCCTCCTCCTCCTCCTCCTCCTCCTTTCTCTCATCTCTCCGTTACAGTCCACCAAAGTGCCAGATTTCCAGTTCGGCCCCTTCGATCCCTCCTACTACACCCCCTTCTCCGTCAACCGTCCGTCCACCATCTCCAACGAGGCCCTCCAGGTCACCCCCGACTCCGCCGGCAACTTCACCCTCACGAACCAATCCGGCAGGATCCTCTTCAAAAAGGGCTTCAAGCTCTGGGACGGACCCTCCACCGCCCCTACCAAGCTCGCCTCCTTCAACACCTCCTTCGTCATCAACCTCTACCGGGTCAACGACACCAGTGCCCCCGGTGAGGGCCTGGCCTTCATCGTTGCGCCGGACCTGAACCGCCTGCTGGGGAGCTCCGGCGGCTACCTCGGGCTCACCAACGCCACCACCGACGGCCACGCCAGCAACCACCTCCTGGCCGTCGAGTTCGACACCTTCAAGCAGGACTATGACCCGGACGCGAACCACATCGGCCTCGACATCAACACGGTCCGGCACAACCAGACCGTCTCGCTGGCGGGCCAAGGCTTCCAACTCGCTCCAAACGGCACCAAATACTTCCACGTCTGGATCGACTACGATGGCGCCCGGAAGCTCCTGGCGGTCTACATGACCGACGAGGACGAGTCCACCCCGACGAAGCCCAAGCCGGCATCTCCAATCATGACGGCCACCGTCGATACGAGCAAGGTGGTGAGCCAGAACTCCTACTTCGGGTTCGCCGCGTCGACCGGGGAGAACGTGGAGCTCAACTGCGTGCTGCTTTGGAACCTGACGGTGGAGGAGCTGCCGAAGGGCATGCCGGCGGGGCTGGTGATCGGGCTGGCCGCCGGGATCCCGGCGGCGGCGCTGGTGCTGGCCGGGGCGGCCGTCCTGGGCTTCTTCTGGGTGAGGCGGCGGAGGGCGGAGGCGAGCGACCCGAACATACTGGGGACGCTGAAGAGCCTGCCGGGGACGCCGAGGGAGTTCAAGTTCAAGGATCTGAAGAAGGCGACGGGGAACTTCGAGGAGCGGAACAAGCTGGGGCAGGGAGGGTTCGGGGTGGTGTACAAGGGGGTGCTGGCGGCGGAGGGCCGGCAGGTGGCGGTGAAGAAGTTCTCCAGGGACGACCTGAAGGGGAAGGGCGACTTCCTGGCGGAGCTCACCATCATCAACCGCCTCCGGCACCGCCATCTCGTCCCCTTGCTCGGTGAGTTCGAATTTCTTTTTCTGTTAAATTTCTCTCCTCTCTTTTTTTTTATTCTTATTTTCCCTGTTGATTTTTTTTTTATTTTGATGCGTGTTTTTTATTAATTGAAAGTTGGCGTTTCAAAAAAAGCTGCTGATCTTGATAAAGGGTTTTGAAATCCACTCCTTAATGTTTTTTTTTTTTGGGTGATAGACTTTCCTTGAATTGGTCAAACTATTGTTGCTTGGTAAGATAGAAATAGCTTATTCCATATGGCTTCTTCCTTAATAGTTTATTACTTTTCAATTTTTGGAATTTTGGGGTAGGTTCGATTCAACACGTTTTTTTCATGGGCTGGAGAAATTTTGGGAGGAAAATCGGTTCATTAACCATTACGAATAATTACGTATATATTTATATGATAAGAAATGAAAAAAATAGAGGGAAATTGAAATTAAACTCGTCCTTAAAACTAGCCACTATCTCCATTTCAAAGGATAATTAGTCATGGAACTTAAAAAGGGGAGCTCCATTTGTTAAGATTTGGTCTATATAGTGATCATGAATAAGGAATATTAGGAAACTAATTTTCGTTTATTATAGAAGAAAATTCACAAAGACACGTGGTATTATCTATGGTGCACATGTAAAATCAGCAATTAAGGAATTATGAAGCAATACTTTGACGCAAGACCCCCCCCCCAATAGTTGACTTTTAAAATCGAATCTCGGTCCGCCCTCCCACCACCCTTTTATTTATTTATTTATTTTGTGGGATAATTGCACGAATAGTCATAAACTTTGATCTATTATATAACGTGATCCCTGAACTTTTAATTTGTTCAATATAATCTAGAAACTTTATCTCAATATGTAATATCGTCCATATACTTTTAAATTGTACAATGTGGTCCCTAAACTTTTTATGCATGTTCAATTTAGTTTATGGACTATATGAAATTATTCAATGTAGTTCAGGAACTTGAATTTCATATAGTCCATATACTAGATTGAACACGTACTAAACATTTAAGGACTATATCGAACAAATTAAAAGTTCAGGGACGATATTTCACATTACGCTAAAATTCAGGGATCATATTAAATAAATTAAAAGTTTATGAATAATATTGCACATTGAATTGAAGTTCATTAGAGTATTTGTGTTATTTTCCCTTCCTTTCTCAATGAAATTGCACTTCAATTCGAGGCTTTTCACATTACATGAAAGTCAAACACTATCTTGAAAAATTGCCTACATCTCCTTTCCAAAATAAGAAAGACATGATAAAAGCTTTGCTTCCAAAAACGTTGTCCAAACTTGTGATGAATGTGCATTTAAAGACGTCAGGCCGGTTTGGCATAGCACGGGTGTACGGTCGAATCGACATCGTTTTCAAAAAAATACCATATGCTTGTTGTTTTCTTTTTTTGTTCTTTTTTTGCCGTAATGTCAAGATGGCCCAATCAAATTCGGAAAGAATAAATTTAAGAAAATAAATGGCCACCTAACTGGGAAGTGTCATCTAGTCTACCAATTCCACGTCGGGTTTTGGTTGAGTATGGGTGGCAGAAAACTAATCGAAGAACGTGTTAGCTTGAAACGGTCCAAAGATTCTACCATAAAATAAGGGTTCGACGGTCCAAATGACGACCCAAATCAGATCGCCGCCGGCCCCGCCACGCAGCTAATTCCCCGCTGTTTCTTTACAAGAGAAACTCCTGGAAAAACGATTTTTTTAATTTTTAAAAAATGGATTTTTTTGTACATTTATTATCGTCTGATGAATATGTGAATATTTCCTCTTTTTTTTAAAATTAAATTGGCAAATTGACAATTTGTGAGCCAGCCCCGTACGCGTGCAAGGCTGGCCACGAATCTTAGCACATGCGCCGCTGCATCCGACGCCATATTTGAACATGCGATAAGATAAAATAATTCCTTTTTTTTTTTTTTTGTATTAGTTGGAGTTACGATGTCTGCTCCATTTATGTCGTCATTTTAGCTCATGTAAATTAATTGGGAAAAAAGGAAAAAGAAAATTCGTGTTGATCCTGTAATATCATATATATAATTTTGGAAATTCGCATTTTATCATCGTATTCTTATCGATTATCCGTTTTTTTATTAAAAGTCGATGAAAAATGCGCTGATCGGGTTACCCGGCATGTTTTTTGTCCGACAGGATGGTGCCACCAGAACGGGATGCTGCTCTTGGTCTATGAGTACATGCCCAATGGGAGCCTCGACCGCCACATCTTCTGCGGCCCGGAGGCGCAGACCCTAGGGTGGACCCACCGCTACAAGATCGTCTCCGGCGTCGCGTCCGCCCTCCACTACCTCCACGACGAGTACGACCAGAAGGTCCTCCACCGCGACCTCAAGGCCAGCAACATCATGCTCGACTCCAACTTCAACGCCCGCCTCGGTGACTTCGGCCTCGCCCGAGCAATCGACAACGAGAAGACCTCCTACGCCGAGCTCGAGGGCGTCCCGGGGACGGTCGGCTACATCGCCCCCGAGTGCCTCCACACGGGCAAGGCCACCCGGGAGTCCGACGTCTTCGGCTTCGGCGCGGTCATCCTCGAGGTGGTGTGCGGCCAGCGCCCGTGGAACAAGGCCGGGTTCAGCGGGTTCCAGTTCTTGGTGGACTGGGTGTGGTCGCTCCACCGCGACGGGCGGATCCTGGAGGCGGTGGACGAGCGCTTGGGCGAGGACTATGCGGTGGAAGAGGCCCGACGGTTGCTGCTCCTCGGGCTGGCCTGCTCGCACCCGATCGCCGCCGAGAGGCCCAAGACGCCGGCGATCGTGCAAATTCTTTCCGGGTCGGTGGACGTGCCGCGCGTCCCGCCTTTCAAGCCCGCGTTCGTCTGGCCCTCGGCGAGCCCGCTGACCGAGGACGGAGACACCACAGACGTGACGCCGATGACGTCGTCGTCACGGTTCGGGTCGGGTTGGACACCGAGGTACACGAGCAAAGAGAGTGATACCGGGTACAGCAACAGCTCTCCTGTGTGATATGCAAAGATTGGAATGGCCTTGTAGGACTACTACAGTGCTGCGGAGAAAAGAGAAGGTTTTTTTTTTTTTTTTGCTCCTTTTTAATTAAGATTTTCTCTATATCATTTTCAATTGGAGTCTACATTTTATTTCCTTTTTGTTCGATTTACTAATTTAGTTGTCTTTTATTTGGGCCTCGGTCAATTGTTTATATATATATTTTTTTATGTGTTCTTCAATTGGAAAGGAGGGGGTCTACTCTACATACAATTGTAGCTGATGTGATGACTAAAAAAAAATTTCTATTTTGGTAAATGCTGGAGGAAAATTGATTTATTGCCCAAAAAAAAAGGGAATAGAGACAGATGAAAATTGCTCTAATGACTGTTGTGAATGATTTACAAATGTTGGGACTCAAAGTCTTGATCTTCCTGAAAGCATTATGAACATTTACAATTTTCTTCCACCCATGAGTAATTCGTGCTACATGCGCCGCGAAGCGATCCTCGAATGTAGATAGATTATTTCTGGCAGTAATATTTGTGGCTTATGAAAGCGCCTGCAAGCATAGATACGATTAGAATTGGGCGCGCACGACCGTGAGAGCTTCGCCGGCCTGCAGGTTCTTAGAGATCCTCGGGTTTCTGAAGTCTTCGTAAACCACGGGGCCATAGAGACGCGGGTGCTTAGGATCGACGAGCTCCGGGGGTGCTTCGACGACTCCCTGCTTCGGTCCTAAGATGAATGTCGCGATCGAGACCCGAGTCGGAGTTGTGGCTTCCTTGCACGGCACGCAGTGCTTCAGGTTGCGCCACCTCCCGTCGCTCCATATCTGCCGTCCAATAATGAAAATCAACAGACAAATATCACTAAGATCATTAGGGACGAAGGAAGGTTGCATTTTCATGGCCTGTGAGAGTTATGTGCTCTTCCAAACGACTAACGAGCTCTGACACTTGTCACTAGCGCACTGCTCGAAGTTGCCTCAAGAAAGCATAACAACAGGACATTGAGCAGGCTTTTGAAGCAAACTAATGCCCTCGTTTTGTCCTAATCTTGAGACTTTCGATTAGCGAGGGATGGAAGCCGAATTTGCCCTACCGTTGCCAGGTCTCCGAGGTTGACCAGGAATGTGCCGGGCCAAGGGCCGAGAGCCACAAATGAGCCGGAGGAGTCCATCACATCGAGACCGCTTGCATTGTCGTCATCCTGAAGGATGGTGAGTAACCCTGAGTCTGTATGTACTTGGACTCCTGAAGAGCCAAGAGTCTCAGGAGTGAAGTTGTACTTGTTCATCCTGAGTAGGCAAGTCCATTCCTTGAATGGCTCACCGCTTAACTCCACTGTTTGTGCTAGTTTTGCTGCTATGTCCACGACTAGTTTGTGTGTTGCCTGGGCATAGCTCTCTATTGTCTCTCTACAAGATAAGAGAGACCATGTACAATGGCAGTCAATTGGATAAAGACAGAACGGGTGAGAGAGAGAGAGGGGGGGGGGGGTGCGTGCGGCGTGGGTGGGGGGGTGTTGCGCAGGGGCGGGGCGGGACCTTTGGTGAAGAGAGGCATCCAATTGGCAACAAAAAGCATGAACGGCGTGATGAAAGCCGAAATCATAGAGCCCTAGAGCCTCATACAGAGGATTGATCTCGCTGGGTGCCAAATACCCACTCCAGTTATGACATCTGCATTCCTTCTCTTGATCTCAGAGGGAAGATCAAGCAGAGATCTCACTACTGCCTTCATCTCTGACATCAGCTTCAATGGAATCTTGTGGTTCACAATCCTGAAACATCCCCAAGCCTCACATGCTTCTCCCAGTTTATGAGATGGCCCTGGAAACTCTCGAGTATCAATCACAGGAACCTTCCTTTCCACCATCCCCTCTCTCATTTCTCAAGAGTTAGTTCATGTCGATCTCTTTATTACAATGATAGCATTTGAATCCTACACGGTTGCTGTTGTCTACCACACAACATAACTTGTAGGCCCCATCTTCCTAATCTTAATAGCAAGATCATGCAGTCAGGAAACCATGTATTTTAAGTCCAGCACTGTACAAGTCCCACTGTTTATTTGAGGTATAATTTGGTTGGTCTAATAGATTGTGTCTAGACAAGACGAAGAGCTGTGACCGGCTTGATTAAGCTAAGGAGGCATACAATGCGGTGAGTCTGCATGACCTTTAATGATCAGCGATGACACATGATGTTTCTTGTTCCTTCTTCCTCCCAATAGAACCTTCCTTTTACAAGTGAAATTTGTTCCAAGGTATGGAACCGCATCAGCATCCCTTCACTTGTTACCAATAAACTTTAAACAGAGAATAGACATATCTAGGTACATATACATGCCTACGTGCGTATATACATGCATATGTTGTATGTATTTGTGTTTATTTAGCTGGGTGTCAGCTCTGAAGTTCTCATAGGGCCACGAGACCCTGATGAAAGTATCAATTGAAAAATATGATCTTTGGCCTCAACAGAACTTGTTTTTCTGCACTAACATCAAATTTTGGGTCCTAGCTTCCCTGTATCTGGCAACTGCTAGAAGGGCTAACTTATTATATGAGACATGGTTGAATTCGGATCACTTACACATCCTTTATCTTCTCGGTTTGTTGCAAACGAGAGTAACTTCGATCCAGGAGTTCCATGATAGAAATGTGTATCTAATGGGCATGGCAAAAGTTAAGCCCTGTCAGCACACCGATACTAAGCAGACTTAAGATGATATGGATCTAAGCATTCTTGTTGCAATCTAATTTCCTTTCATGAAAGCAACATAAACGAAGAAAAACAGAAAAGACACAGCTGATCTATCTGAGAGCAAAGCAACATCCTGTTATTCAACTTACCAAATGGCATAATGTTTTGAAAGTAAAAGGCCACCAGCGAAATTAAGATCACCTTCAATCAGAAATCCATCAAAATGAATGCCTAATTATTGGTGGGGACCTTTGCAACTTATTGACAAGGTATCGTTTCAACGTAAATTCAGCTGCTCCAGCACACCTGTTCAGGATTGAGCACAGACAAGCGCGCGCCCTTAGAATCCATTTTGGAGTAGAAATTCTGCTCCAGAATGCATTCCGGAACAAAAATGCGTTTGTTAAAAAATTTCCGGAATGCATTCTGGAGCAATTTTTTCATTCTGGAATAAAAATGCGTTTGTTAAAAATGCTTGATTTCAGAATGCATTCTTGATTTCAGAATGCATTTTTTATTTCAGAATGAGTTTTGGACAAGAAAAAGAGAAGCTACTTTTTGTAGCTTTTCTCTTCCAGAATGCATTCTCCTTATTTTCTATCTTTTTCGTTGCCTTTACAACACATTTTGAGATCTCACTAATTTTTTTTTTCAGAAAATGCATAAAAATTGAAAAATTCCAGAGAAATTCATAAAAATTTCCAGAAAATAAAAAAAAGTCAGATTTCGGGAAAATAGGAAATTTGGTGAATTTTTTTCAAAACATATAAAAAAATCAAAAATTTCAAAACTTCACAAAATGGCTTAGAATACCTTTGGGCACCCACTTTGAGTGAAATTTAATTTTTTTGAGGTGCCCAAAAAAATCAAAAAATCAAAAATTTCAAAACTTCACAAAATGGCTTAGAATACCTTTAGGCACCCACTTTGAGTGAAATTTAATTTTTTTGAGGTGCCCAAAAAAATCAAAAAATCAAAAATTTTAAAACTTCACAGAATGGCTTAGAATACCTGTGACCACCCACTTTGAGTGAAATTTAAATTTTTTTAGGTGCAAAAAAAATCAACAAATCAAAATAGATTTCTGTTCCAAAAATCAATTTTTGGAGCAGAATTAGTCATGTTTTATCAAACAGATTTCTCCTCCAAAAATAAATTTCTAGGCGCGCATGGAATCCATTCTGGAGTAGAAATTCTACTCCAGAATGCATTCTGAAATAGAAATGCGTTTGTTAAAAAATTTCTGGAATGCATTCTGGAGCAATTTTTGCATTCCGGAATAAAAATGCGTTTGTTAAAAATACTTGATTCCAGAATGCATTCTTGATTCCAGAATGCATTTTTTATTCCAGAATGAGTTTTGGGCAAGAAAAAGAGAAGCTACTTTTTGTAGCTTCTCTCTTCCAGAATGCATTCTCCCTATTTTCTCTCTTTTTCTCACTAATTTTTTTTTTCAGAAAATGAATAAAAATTGAAAAATTCCAGAAAAATTCATAAAAATTTCCAGAAAATAAAAAAAAGTCAGATTTCGAGAAAATAGGAAATTTGGTGAATTTTTTTCAAAAAATATAAAAAAATAAAAAATTTCAAAACTTCACAGAATGGCTTAGAATACCTTTGGGCACCCACTTTGAGTGAAATTTAATTTTTTTGAGGTGCCCAAAAAAATCAAAAAATCAAAAATTTCAAAACTTCACAAAATGGCATAGAATACCTTTGGGTACCCACTTTGAGTGAAATTTAATTTTTTTGAGATGCCCAAAAAAATCAAAAAATCAAAAATTTCAAAACTTCACAAAATGGCTTAGAATACCTTTGGGCACCCACTTTGAGTGAAATTTATTTTTTTTGAGGTGCCCAAAAAAATAAAAAAATAAAAATAGATTTCTGTTCCAGAAATCAATTTTTGGAGCAAAATTAATCATGTTTTATCAAACATATTTCTCCTCCAAAAATCAATTTCTGGCAAAAATTCCGGAAATCAATTTCTGGCAAGAATTTGATTTCTGGAGCAAAATGGTTACCATTCGCACCCTTAGTTTCCTAAAATCTTCCTAAGTAATAGGGCCATGGAGACATGGGTTGTCGGAGTCCACAAATTCTCGAGGTGCTTCAACAACTTCCTCCTTCGGTCCCAGAAGAAAAGTAGCAATACACTCGGATAGTCGCTTCTTTGCACTGCACTTGGTGCCTCACGTTGCTCCACCTTGTGTTGCTACATGCCGAGCACATAAACATGAATGAAATCCAAAGTGATCTTCAAAGAAAATTTCAGTTAGATTCATTGCCCCTCGTTTTGCCACAACCTAAATTTTAGCCCCAGCAATTGGTGCTTATCACTTCACGTTGCAGGTCTATTATGACTATCTGAATTCATTTACAGAAAGTGGGGATTAAGTGCTTTTGGATAGAATATGATGCCTCCAATTTCAGTTGATGAAAGAAATGATAGTGTCTACCGTTGCCGTATCTCCTAGATTGAGGAGGAATGTGCCGGTCCAGGGCTCAACTGGTGTCAATGAACCGGACAAGTCCATTACCTTGAGACCACAGACATTCTCGTCATCTTGAAGAACGGTAAAAAATCCGGAGTCAGCGTGAATTTGGATCCCTGAAGAGCCAAAAGTTTCGGGAGTGAAGTTGCATATGTTTATCCGGAACTGGCAGGGTCATTCCATGAACAATTCTCCGTCCATTCCCATGCTTCGAGCCAACGTTGCTGCGATGGCCATGATCATTACGTATACTGCTGCCCCGGCATGCTTCTCTAATTTTTCCTCCAAAGAAGAAAAAACAAGCTACTGCTAATGCAGATTAACCAATTGTTACAGACATTTTGAATGAAACCCCGCGTAGCATCCGCAAGAACAACGATCAGCAAAGAAACAGAATGGTGATGTCAATCGGTAACCCGTGAATTCATCATAAATCTCCTGTCAAAGCATTACTAACTGGCCACTCCAGGGGTGAGCCATTATTGCCACTTCAATTTTGTTGTCAAAGGCAAGATCGCAATCGGAGAATTCCTACACGGTTGTTGTTGACCATCTTCTGGCGCTTAGTTAAGGATAAGTTGGGCGAAAATTTTGTCTTAAGTCGTTCCACTGCAGATGTGAAGACGGTTCGACGAAAAACACGCGAAGTGCGTTGTAATTTTGACGCAGTCCACTATGCGGTCAAACTGGATTTTATTTGCTCCCCCGTCAGCGTTCAATATTTATCTCCAAGTTTGAACAAACCATCGCCTTGACTATTAGCGGTGTACAACCGGACCAGGTTTACCCGAAAATCGGATCGGACCATCCAAAAAATAGGTCCGGGAACCGGTTCCTATTTGAACTGGTCCGAGAACCGATTCCATTTTTTGGGAACCGGTTGGAACTGGTCCAATTCTCGGTTCCAAGTGAAGACCAACTCGGACCGGTTTTGGAACTAATTTTTAGCTTGTCTTAAAAAAAACGTAGATCATAGTATTATTATATTTTGGATTATTGCTTTTGGTTGGTAGTAATTTTTATTGCTCATCTTAGCAATTGTTGCTTTTGGCGGATAGTGATTTTTATTATTCATATTTTACTTTGAATCGTTTCATTACTATTCATATTATTTTGCTAGAAAAAAGGAACAAAAGAAAAATAGATTCTCGGGTAGACCCTGAAACCGGACCAGAAAAACAGGATAGGTTCCAAAACTGGTTACAGGACAAACATGATAAATTCTATGTTCCAAAAACTGAGAACCGGTTATAACGGGGTAAGTTCCAACCTACTCACTCCTATTGACTTTCTTGTTGATCGAATCTTGGATTTATATATATATATTTCCAAGACTAAAACAAATTATAATAGGCAAACAAGGACACACCAAAACAAAGTCCAAGTCGGACTTTCTTGGATGCCTCATCCAACTGCCCTTCTAACATGGACAGATTAACAATTATATATATATATATATATATATATATATATATATATATATATATTTCCAAGACTAAAACAAATTATAATAGGCAAACAAGGACACACCAAAACAAAGTCCAAGTCGGACTTTCTTTGATGCCTCATCCAACTGCCCTTCTAACATGGACAGATTAACAACTACACGCGGAGTTAAGATTGCCTTCAATTTGAAGTGTTTCTCAAGAATGGTGAAGCTAATAACATTCATTATGTTAAAATATATCTCGAGTTTGAGCTCAATAGATGAAATTCGATCCAAGATTAATATTATTTATGAAAATTTAAATATTCCGAGTTGGATATTTTTACGGACGTCCGAAATTGAGCAATACATAAACTCTCCTTCGGGGCACACAATTTAGTCTTCTGGACGTCAGAATCTAGAAGCTGAAGCCACGGTCAAGCAAAAGAAATAAAAAGGAAAGTCCAATGGTTTGACCGAATTTGGACGTGCATTGGATAAGGTTTGAATCGCACGGAAATATTTCCTGGGTGAAATTAGTGTGATATTTCCTATTTGAGTCCAATTTTTTTTTTGGCCAGAAAAGAAATCGACTTTCATTACTGGAAATAAGTACGTGGATACACTTCGTTTGCTTCAAAACAAAGAAGCTCTGAGAGGGGTGAGGGGGGTTCAAAAGCCAATTTCATGGTAATTTATTTTTACGCTGAGCTTTAACTACCTAATCAATAACTCTATTGGACTCTCTATTAATATGGGCTAACTTAAATTGAAAACGTAAATTGCTTTATTGACCAAGAACTTCAGCCCACGGGTGTCGGGATATATATTGCTCATGGGTCAGGGGAAGCTTTAGTGAACTCCTCTCGAAGCGCCGTTTCCTCTCTGAGTACCGTGGGTCATCATTAGGTGCTGGATGCTTGGCGTGGATTTTTCTCGTGGAATTACACCAAAAATTCAAGTATTTATAGTGATTAAATCTTGTAATAAAATTTGTATATAAAAAAATTGTAGGGCTAAACACTACGTGAGCTATTGAGTATAATTGGAGCTTGGAAAATACTTAGAGTGTTTGAGTGACTCGAATGTGGTTGTAATCTCCGTTATATCGCTTGATCTATAGTGAAATTCCATGCTGCTCTTCCCGTGAACGTAGGTCACTAGACCGAATCATGTAATCTGGTGTCCAATTTATTTTCTTGTTCTGTCAATTTTTTTGTTCGATCGCTTGACTTCCGTAACACATTGAAATGAATTCCTTATTATCGGTGGGGATCTTTGCAACTTATCGACGTGGTATCGTTTCACTGTAAACTTTCAGCTGCTCCGGCACATCTGTTCGGGATGGAGCACACGCGAGCGCGCAATAGCTTCACCTGCCTGAAGTTTCTTGGAGATCCTTAGTTCCCTATCAAATTCATCCTTATCGTGCGATTAGACACGAATGACCTTGGTTGAAATTAACGAGGCCGCAAATAATGCTAGATACTCTGAGTCTGATATTAGATTTAGTCGAAATACAAAAGTGATATATGTTTGTCAGTTGGAATTTACTTGCTTTACTATTTTGGACAGCAATGCATGCTTGAGATATAAAATTTGATTTTGAAAGTTGAATTACATTACAGGTGTGGTAAATCCTTAACCCATTTACCAGATAAGTTTATCTCTAGCTAAAGCAATTTTGTCACTGGCCTTACTCACGGTGGATTATAGTAATGGAAAGTGTTGCAGAAGTAAGCGATCGAATAATAAAATATACAGAACAAGAAAATAAATTGGACACCAAATTTACATAGTTCGATCATAGAGACATACGTCTATAGGGAGAGCAGCACGAATTTCACTATACATCAGGCGATATAACGGTGATTATAACCACATTCGAGTCACTCAAACATTCTAAGTGGTGTCCAAGGCTCAATTACACTTAATAATTCACGTAGTGTTTAGCCCCAATAATTCTCCATGAAATAATTTCACAATCTCGCGAAAGAATCACACACAAATTTTACCACAAGATTTAATCAGTTTGAACACTAAATTATTGATGTAATTGCATGAACGAAACCAATGCCAAGTGCTCGCGTGAAAAATGACGCTTCAAGAATCTCTTCGCATCAACCGTGGCGCTTCAAGACTTCTTCATCAACAACGGCGTTAACTGCAATGCGAGCAAGGCACGCCCGAGAGAAAACCTCAATTGCATTGAGATATGCCACCGCCAGGAGAAGTCCCAAGCTAGACCGGTCAAAAAAGTCAACTTTCCTTTTTCTCCTTTTGCGTTTATTCTTTTTCTTCTTTTGTTGGCTGCCAACTCGTGCACATTGGGAAAGTAAATTTCCAATATTTCCTTCTTTTTTTGGGTCCTTGGCCGACTTTTAACTTGAGGAAATAATTCTTTGCACGCAATATGTAATCTGATTTCCAAATCAGACGATCACGTGAAAAGAAAACTTCTCTTTCGTGGACTTTTCTTTATTCAATTTTATTTCAGGTCGAATTTCGTTTAGTTGACTCAAACTCGAGGCATACACATATTTTAATAGAAAGTTCCAAGCAATGATACATATTTTTTTTTTTGTTGTGATTTGTTTGACAAAAGCCAAAATTCGAAACGAAGCCACCACGAAATTCTCCATCTTCTTCTTCATCATCATCATCTTCTGCTTCATCTTCTTGAATCCCCACCAAACCCCTCACGCTTCCATGAAATGGGCCGAGCTCTAGCGCCTCTCCCCGCAAACCTCACCTTCCTCACTCTCCTCCTCCTCCTCTTCCTCCCTCTCATCTCTCCGTTACCGTCCCCCAAAACGCTAGATTTCCAGTTCGGCCCCTTCGGTGACTCCAACCGCGACAACTTCTCCGTCATCCCTACGGCCACCATCACCAACGGGGCCCTCCAGGTCACCCCCGACATCGCAGGCAACTTCCATTCGATCCCCGTCCTGAAATACCAATCCGGCAGGATCCTCTTCAAAAAGGGCTTCAAGCTCTGGGACGGACCCTCCACAGCCCCCACCAAGCTCGCCTCCTTCAACACCTCCTTCGTCATCAACATCTACCGGATTGACAACACCAGTACCCCCGGCGAGGGCCTGGCCTTCTTCGTTGCGCCGGACCCGAACCTCCCGGCGGGGAATTCCGGCGGCTTCCTCGGGCTCACCACCAGCGTCACCGACGGCCTCGCCAGCAACCACCTCCTGGCCGTCGAGTTCGACACCTTCAAGCAGGACTATGACCCGGACGCGAACCACATCGGCCTCGACATCAACTCGGTCGTGTCCAACCAGACCGTCTCGCTGGCGGGCCAAGGCTTCCAGCTCGCTCCGAACGGCACCAAATTCTTCCACGTCTGGATCGACTACGATGGCGCCCGGAAGCTCCTGGAGGTCTACATGACCGACGAGGACGCTTCCACACCGACGAAGCCCAAGCCGGCGCTTGCTATCATGACGGCCACCGTCGATACGAGCAAGGTGGTGAGCCAGAACTCCTACTTCGGGTTCGCCGCGTCGACCGGGGATAACGTGGAGCTCAACTGCGTGCTGAGCTGGAACCTGACGGTGGAGGAGCTGCCGAAGGACCCGGACCTGCCGGCGCGGCCGGTGATCGGGCTGGCCGCCGGGATCCCGGCGGCGGCGCTGGTGCTGGCCGGAGCGGCCCTCCTGGGCTTCTTCTGGGTGAGGCGGCGGAGGGCGGAGGCGAGCGACCCGAACATAGTGGGGACGCTGAAGAGCCTGCCGGGGACGCCGAGGGAGTTCAAGTTCAGGGATCTGAAGAGGGCGACGGGGAACTTCGACGAGAGGAACAAGCTGGGGCAGGGAGGGTTCGGGGTGGTGTACAAGGGGGTGCTGGCAGCGGAGAACCGGCAGGTGGCGGTGAAGAAGTTCTCGAGGGACGACCTGAAGAGCAAGGACGACTTCTTGGCGGAGCTCACCATCATCAACCGCCTGCGCCACCGGCATCTCGTCCCCTTGCTCGGTGAGTTCGAATTTTTGTTAAATTTCTCTTTTTTTTTTCCTGTTTTTCTTTGAATGCGTGTTTTTTATTGAAAGCTTTTTTTTGTCAGAATTTTTTTTATTGAAAGCTTTTGTCAGAATTTTTTTTATCCTATTCGACCTAAAAATAGGAAAGCTTTTAATCAATGAATCTTGATAAAATTTGAAATAGGATTAATATCATGAAAAATCTCAAACTGATATATATGTGATAAATTTATTCCAAATTACTTTTTTGACCACGGAAAATCCTAAACGGATACATTTGTGACAAATTTACCACAAACTAGATTTTTTACCACAAAAAACTCCAAACTAGTACATTTGTAACAAATTTACCCTTTGTTAGTTTACATTAAATTTGATTAATACCACGAAAAGCCACAAACTGGTATACCTGTGAAAAACCCCAAACTGGTACACCTGTCAACTATCACGTGTCATCTAACTCAGCAATTTTACGTTAAAATTTAAAGAAAATTAACGGAAGATAAATTTATCACAGATGTATCATTTTAGAGTTTTTCGTAATATGAACTCTTTGAAATAATACACTCCTTAATGGTTTTCATTTATTATGAAATTTATGTCTTTTTGGGAAGCAGAGACAGTGGAGAGGCTGATGATCTTTTCTTGAATGGTCAATTTTAAAGGCATGGCCACAGGCCGGTTTCGGCCCGGTCAAACCCCGGCCCGGCCCGTTGACTGGGCCCGTGGTTCGGAACCGGAAACGGCCCGTGGCCTACGGGCCCGATTCCAACAATTTTGGAACCGGCGGTTCCGGGCCCGGTTCCAAATTATTTTTAAAAAATAATAATAATAATGAATTTTAAAAAAAAAATTTCATTATTTAATTTTTTTTTTACAAAACAATTTGAACTCTAATTACAAGGCTTGGTTTGGATTTTATACACAATGATTATGATGCCTCTTCGTTCCCATTCGATGTGGGATTCTCGGCTTGCCTTGAACATCTTCAATGTGAGACTCTAGGCTTGTCTTCATGCAAATGTCAAGAGTCCCACATCGAATGGGAAAGAAGAAACCATCAAAGGGGTTGTGTATAAAACCCAAGCCAAGGTAAGCCATGAGCATGTGAAGTTGTATGCCTTTTGTGGTTATGATCCTTTGCTAGTTAAGAGCAAAGGGTTCCATTGGACCGCTTAGAACCGAATCGAACCAATGGTCCGGTTCCCGGTTCTATGATTTGCCGGTCCGGTTCTTAGTTCTAAAATTAGGGGACCGGTCTTACCGGTTCGATTCCCGGTTCCGAGCGGAATCGGACCGAATCGGGAACCGATCACCCCTACAATTTACATTTTGATTTCAATTTATATTGAATAATTCATTATTTCATAATTTTATAATTCATTATTTTTTATTTCATAAATTTTTGTTAAAATTTTAAATTACGAACAGGAACCCGAACCGCCGGTTCCGAACCGTGGCCATGTCTTTGGTAGGATAGAAATAGATGTTCCATATGGCTTCTTGGAAAGTTTATTATGTTGGAGTAGATTCAATTCAACACCTTTCTTCAAGGGCCAGAGAAATTTGGGAGAAAAGTCGATTCAATAACCATTACGAATAATTATGTATCTATTTATGTAATAAGAAATAAAAAAATCTAGTGAAATTGAAATTGAACACGTCCTTAAAACTATCCACTTTCTCCGTTTCACAACTTGAAAGGGGAGCTCAATTAGTTAAGACTTAGAGGCTTCGTTTGTTTGCAAAAAATTTGACATTTCTAGAATGTGTTTCACAGAAAGTCATTTTTCAGGAAAATAACAATATTTTTCACTATTGGCTAAAACTTGAAAATGAACTAAAAAATATTTTTCAATGTGAAAAATCTGATTTTATTTTCCAGGGAAAATTACCCAAAAAATCAAATTTTTAATTATTTTTTTCTTTTTTTTCCTTGGCTAGTGGCAAGCAACCATAGGCGAGGGACAAGCTTGCCCAAGGCCGGCAAGGTCTCGAGCTCACCACAACTCACGAGGCCTTGAGCTTGCTACTACGAGCTCGACCTCGCCCACCTCTAGCGAGACCTTGAGCTCGCCGATCTGGCGAGGTGGAGCCTTGCCAGAGGCCAGCAAGACTCGACTCGCCGGAATCTGGCGAGCTCGTCCCTTGCCTATGGCCGATCGCTGGCCGTCGCCGTCGCCGTCACCGGCCAAGGAAGAAGGAACAAGAAAAAGAAAGAAAAGAAAAGAAAAACAAAAAATTTGATTTAAAAAATAGATATATTTTTATAAGAACAAATATTTCATTAATTAAGGATCCGAGCCCAAGAGCCGGATACCCGCGCTTGGCTTTGTGAACCTGGGCCTGAATGCGGGGACCAGAGCTCGAGCTTCGAGAGCCCAAGCACGGCATTTATGGACTCAAGCTCGGGTGCCGGGGCATCGGGTATGGGCAATAGGGCTTCGGGCCTAGCCTCGATGGACCTGCGCATGGACGTCGGCACACCCGGGTCCCAGGCTTGACCTTGGTGGACCCAGGCCCAGGCGCCGGAGATCTTTTCGAAAAATGTGTTCTGCGAGACAAACGGCGCCTTATAGTCTATAATGATTATACATAAGGAATTTTAAGAAACTCCTTTCTAAAAGAAAATTCTCAAAGACACGTGGTATTATCCAATGATGCACCTATAAAATCAGCAATTGAGTAATTAAGGTTCTGTTTGTTTCATGAAAAATGTGACATTTCGGAAAAATATTTTTCGGGAAGTCATTTTTCAAGAAAATGACAATTTTTTTCAGTATTTGGTTGAAACTTGAAAATGTAATGGAAAATATTTTCTGTCGTTTAGTAAAGAAAATCAAGATTTTCCTAAATAGACATAAAGGTACTAGTGACTAGCGCACGAACAACCGGGGCATCGGGCACAGACACCGAGGTCCCGGGCACGGATTCTTGGCTCCTGAGCATGAGAACGGGCACCGATCCTAGGTCCAGAGTGACTAGGCCCGAGAACCCGGCGCCTGGGCCCAAGACCACAGAGCCCAGGCCTTGAACCCTAGAGCTCTTGCCCGGGTTCCTGGCACCCACGCCCATATCCATCGAGACCGAGCCTCAAACCCTGACGCTTGGACCCGGATTCATCGAGGTGGGGTCAAGACCAGAGAGGTGGTTTCGGGGGCGAAATTTGTGATGACTCTGCATTTAAAGATGTCGGGACGGTTGGTATAACACATTATGTCTAGTCGAATGAACGTCCTTTTGAGAACATTTCATTTTTTTCGAAATGTCAAGATGACTAAATCAAATTCCAACAGAATAAAATTAAGAAGATGGCTAATCAGTTACTCGTTTTTTTTTTCGACAGGATGGTGCCACAAGAAGAGGATGCTGCTTTTGGTCTATGACTACATGCCGAATGGGAGCCTCGACAGCCACATCTTCTGCGGCCCGGAGAAGCAGGCTCTAGAGTGGAGCCACCGCTACAAGATCGTCTCTGGCGTCGCGTTCGCCCTCCACTACCTCCACCACGAGTACGACCAGAAGGTCCTCCACCGCGACCTCAAGGCCAGCAACATCATGCTCGACTCCGACTTCAACGCCCGCCTCGGCGACTTCGGCCTCGCCCGCGCCATCGACAATGAGAAGACCTCCTACGCCGAGCTCGAGGGCGTCCCGGGGACGGTCGGCTACATCGCCCCCGAGTGCCTCCTCACCGGCAAGGCCACCCGGGAGTCCGATGTCTTCGGCTTCGGCGCAGTCATCCTCGAGGTGGTGTGCGGCCAGCGCCCGTGGACCAGGGCCGGGTACGGCGGGTTCCAGTTCTTGATGGATTGGGTGTGGTTGCTCCACCGCGACGGGCGGATCCTGGAAGCGGTGGATGAGCGTTTGGGCGGGGAGTACGTAGTGGAAGAGGCCCGACGGCTGCTGCTCCTCGGGCTAGCTTGCTCCCACCCGACCGTGGCCGAGAGGCCCAAGACGCCGACGATCACGCAAATTCTTTCGGGGTCGGCGGATGTGCCGCGCGTCCCGCCTTTCAAGCCCGCGTTTGTTTGGCCCTCGGCGAGCCCGCTGACGGAGGACGGAGATACCGCGGACGCGACACCGACGATGTCGTTGCTGTTCCGAACGGGCTGGACTCCAAGATACGTGAATAAAGAGAGCGATACCGGGTTCAGAAATAGCTCTCCTGCGTGAAAAAGAAAAGATTGGAATGGCCTTGTAGAACTGCAACAGTGCTGCGGGAAAAAGAAAAAGTTTTCTTTTTTCTTTTTTAATTGAGACTTTCTCTATATCATTTTCACTGGAGTATAATTTTATTTCCTTTTTTTAGATTTAGAAACTCAGTTGTTTTTTATTTGGGCGTCGTCTAATTATTTATATATTTTCTGTTAAATCGCGTATGTTTCTTCAATTGGAAAGGAGGAGGTCTACATACAATTGTAGTTAAAACGATGACTGAAGAGCCAAGAGTCTCAGGAGTGAAGTTGTACTTGTTCATCCTGAGTAGGCAAGTCCATTCCTTGTGTTAGATATAATATATAATCTAGGTTTACCGTTCATTCTTTTCCTATATAAAGGGACTTGGCCTTATAGTTCTAATTCATTCAAGCAAATAATATACACAAAATTCTCTCATCTCAACTTGGTATCAGAGCACCATTGTTACCTGAGGAGCGCCCATCGAGCCTGCCACACCGTGGCCGCCACGACGCCAGCCGCGTCGCCCCGGTTCTCCGATAAGACCGAAGCTTTTCCTCACTGCTCAGCATACTTCCGCTGCTCATTTCGGAAAACCGAGACCACCAGCAGACTCGCCGCCCTCAGACGACCCACATCCTGAAATTTCATCGCCAACAGCCGCCGGACGCCACTGCACGCACCGCCACGTGCCACCGCACCTCGGACCCAGGTAGCCCACCGCCGTTCACCGCTGTTCAGTGGTGTTTTGGACATCTTCCGCCGTGTTTTTACAAAAACCGACACCAACCCACGACTCGCCGCCCTCAGTCAAGTCATTCAGTCAAATTTCGCCGCTTTCCTCCGCCGGACGCGCCTTCACGCGCCGCTTCAAGGCCTGAGCGTGAGATCCACACGCCTCCACCAGTTGGCACGCGCCTGCACACGCCGGCACACGCCCAGCTGACGTAATCCGCCACGTCATCCGTTGACCGAACGTTGACATGCGTTGACCGTTCGTTTACCGGCGTTGACCGAACGTTGACCGGTTCAGACCAGACCGGTTCCGTCGATTTTCTGGCCGTTTCGACCATTTCCTGACCGGTTTTCGGTGTTTTTCGACCGGTTCTTGAGGTATTTCGACGTCCTGAGTTCGTTTTTGCCGTTATCTTTCTCATATATGCTCTCGGTATACTAGATTCTGATGATTCCATAATAGTAAAGTGCATATCATGGATAGAATGGAAGTCTCCATGCCAATTTAGACTATTTTGAATGGCTCTAATTATATTTTATGGTCTCAATAAATATCAAGTTTCTTGAAAGGATGTCGGCTTTGGCGTTATGTCACTGGACAAATTAGTGTACCTACTAGAATTGCTAAAGAAACTGATGATCAATTTGTGGATCGTTTGGATGAATGGGATAGCAGAAATCATCAGATTCTCTCATGGTTTCGAAACACTTCAATCCCATCTATCCGACTCCAGTTTGGCCTTTTTAATACAGCAAAGGAAGCTTGGCATCTTCTTGATCGTCGTTATTCTAGTTCAGATGTTGCCCATCAATATCGGTTGTTAGGGACTTTATATCACATGCATCAGGAGCCAGGTCAGTCCATTAATGATTTTCTATCATCTATGCATGCTATTTGGGATCAGTTGACCTTGTGTGAACCACGCTTGGAAGGGGATAATAACATTCGCAAAGTTGCTGAACATCGTGATCGTATTCGTGTCATGCAATTTTTGATGGCTCTGAATGATGAGTTTGAACCTGTGAGAGCCTCCATTCTACATAGAGATCATTTTCCTTCGATTGAGACAGTTATATCAGATTTACTGAATGAGGAGACTCGGCTAGCTACCTTGAAAACACAACGTCCTACTATGCCCATATCCATGCCTATGGATGCAGTACTTGCCGCTTCGATTTCTTCCTCCATGCGCCGTCCATTTTGCAAACATTGTCGCCGACATGGTCATCTGGCATCAAATTGTTATCGGCTACGACCTATGCAATTCACAGGATCGACCACTCAGCCTCGTAGCCGAGGTCCCTCACGAGGTCCCTTTGTCGGTCGATCTGCCAATGCTACCACTGTCGAAGCTTTTTCCCATGGATCGTTCCACACACTAGTGTCTCTAGAGGATCTTCGCACCGTTCTCCGAGAATCTGGTACCTTTACCCCTCCTATTCCTAGCACTTCTACTATGTCTACTACTCCCGGTATTTCTGATTCTTGGTTCTTTGATTCTGCTTGTTGCAATCACATGACATCCAACTCTACCTTATTTCAGTCTAAATCCTCCGCTTTACATGCACCTCATATTCTTACTGCCGATAATTCACATATGAGAGTTAGTCATACAAGAAACATTTCCACATCTACATTATCTTTAACTAACATATTCATGGTTCCTAAACTCTCACTCAACTTGATCTCTGTCGGCCAATTGTGTGAACTTGGTCTTGATATTCACTTCTCTTCTCATGGTTGTCATGTGCAGGATCCTCGGACGGGACAGACACTTGGGATAGGCCATAAAGTGGGGCATCTCTTTGAGCTTGTTTCCCTAAATATTCCGACCTCTTTTGCTGCTTGTGCTGCCACAGTGTCATCTAAAACTTGGCATTCTCGGTTAGGTCATGCTTCCTTTTCTAGGTTAAGCTCTTTAATTTCGAGTGGTCATTTAGGTTCTGTTGACACTAAACATTTTGACTGTCTGCCTTGTAAGTTGGGAAAACATCATGCTTTACCGTTTCAGATTAGTGATTCTGTGTCTCATGCTCCTTTTGATCTCATTCACTCTGACATATGGGGACCTTCTCCCACTCCTACCATGGGTGGCTCTCGCTATTTTGTTATTTTTGTGGATGACCATGTAGGCCACGAAAATGGCACGCCCAGAATCACCATAATCAGAAACCGAAATACGATAATGGAGAAATTGTAGATTCGCGTACCTGGTTTGGAATCCATCGAACTTGACGCGGAATTTGCGACGGTTTCCGAACACGAACTCAAATGCTTCTCCCCTATCCCTTCGTTAGAACACTGGCCTAATGAGATTGCCACTCACGAGAAGAAAGTTCTCTCTAAATCCGTATGTGAGTCAAATTGTGCATCATCAGGTTAGGGGAGGGACTTGAGCGCTGTTTATAGAGTCTTCGACCACGGGCCCTCTCATTACGGGCCAGGCCGTACTCGGCCCACACCAGCCAGCCTCATATTAGACTTATTAAGAACCCATATATCTTACCTTTATTAGACCAAACTAATTCAGTTAATTTCAATTAATGAAGCCCACGTTAGGAAATTCTTACATTCTCCCACTTGGGCGATATTAATTGAAACAGAACTGTGTGTGCACCCTTATATTGGTCTAGAGATTATTCTTAATAGTCAATCCGATCCCATAAAGTCTCGAACACCGAATCATGGCGGTAACTGCATATACTCACGCAGAGCCTTCCATGGTCACGAGTGCTTTTAACTTTACTGATATGGATTCAATATGGTAGTGTGTCAAATGGATAATACCTCATAATGAGTGATACTTTATGTGTTGTCCACTTTGTTAGTCCAAATTCTCTCTCCTTAAGTGTCACAAAACCTAATGTGTCACCAGAGAATATCCTTCATGGTTCCAACGAACCTTCATATGTATTACCTTGATAGTTAACTGTACTTTATGTGTAACAAGACATATCGTTAAGGCTAATACTGAGAATGCCCCATAGCCTGTACTCAAGGTTTACACAATGCCTCAAGATTTTCATCAAATATGTATACTCAACTTGATAAATCTACATTCACAAATACCTCATTGAATGCAAAAGAGTTGATACATATTCAAATATTACAAAATGTAACAAAATCAGATACAAACTTCATAAGAGCAACATAAAACTAAACAGCTCCCACTAATTAACAGTATCCCATGATACTCCTAAGCCCATGTTAATGACATGTCGATCAAATATACAAGGGCGAAGGCCTTTAGTTAGCGGATCTGCAATCATATCATCTGTTGAAATGTGCTCTACTGCAATGTCACCATCCTGAACTTTTTCCTTTATAGTCAAGTACTTGACCTCCATATGCTTAAACCCCTTGAGACCTCTGTTGTTGTTAATGAACAACACTGCAGAGTTATTGTCACAATACAGCTGTATGGGCCTATCCACAAAATCAAATACGATCAACTCCTTAATGAGGTTCCGGAGCCAAATTGCCTGAGTAGCGGCCGAAAAGCATGCTACAAACTCCGCTTGCATGGTAGAGGATGTCATTGATTTTTGTTTCTCACTTTTTCATGATACTGCACCTCCTGCTAACTTAAAGATGTAACCTGTTGTCGACTTCTTTTCATCCTGACAGCCAGCAAAGTCTGAATCCGAATACCCAACTAGCTGTAGGTCCTGAACATGTTTGTAAATCAGCATATAATCTTTTGTCCTCTTTAAGTACCTCAAAACCTTCTTGGCAGCAACCCAATGATCGTGTCCTAGATTTGACTGATATCTGCCTAGAAGTCCTGTTGCAAAAGCAATATCTGGTCTAGTACATACTTGAGCATACATAATACTCCCAAGTGCACTAGCATAAGGTACATTCTTCATTTGGGCTTTCTCAAAATCTGAATGAGGACATTGTGACAGACTCAACTTATCACTCTTACTGACAGGAGCAATTCCTGGCTTGCATTGTTGCATGTTGAATCTTTCTAAGATACGATCAACATATGCCCTCTGAGATAAGCCCAATAGTCGGCGAGAACGATTCCTATGAATCTCAATGCCAAGGACAAAAGACGCCTCACCAAGGTCTTTCATATCAAAGTTCTTTGACCGCATCCGCTTTGTCTCATGCAGTAAACCAAGGTCACTGCTTGCAAGCAGAATATCATCAACATAGAGTATAAGGAAAATGAATTTCCTCCCACTGACCTTGCAGTATATACACTGATTTACTCTGTTCTCAACAAAACTAAATGAAGCGACAACACTATGAAACTTCAAGTACCATTGTCTAAAAGCTTGCTTGAGACCATAAATAGACTTTTTCAGTCTACATACAAGCGTACCTGAATCATCTGCCGCAAAACCTTCGGGTTGCATCATATAGACTTCTTCATTAAGGTCTCCATTGAGAAAGGCAGTTTTAACATCCATCTGGTGTAACTCCATATCGAAATGAGCTACCAATGCCATGATCACTCTGAAAGAATCTTTCGAAGAGACTGGAGAAAAAGTTGCTTCATAGT